GGGGTGATGTCTTTGAAGAAACTGAAGGTTGGGGGTGGGGCTCAGCCCTGCAAAAGCCAGGGGATGTCCCCTAAGCCTCTTCCTCATTCTTTATTGTGCTTGCCATTGCTTATTCAGCTTTGGAGTGCGGGAGTTGAAGACATGGGGAGAAAAGAAGCACAGGATGAATTTAAAAACGATATTATTAAACATGTTTGGAAAGACGATCACATTGCTAGCCAGTGGGAGACTTTGAGACAGTCTCAAGGGACAGACTGTGCTCTTTCATGGCGGCAGCAAGAGAATGACATGTGAATAAGGCATTGCCAAACTTCTTTAAACCTCAGAGAAGGATCAAAGTGGTTCATATTTATGTACAATACATTCACACACACTCCTGCACAGAAGAGTCTGAGGCAGATGGGACGTCTCCATCTCACAGATGGGCCATAGTATGTACATTAATGCACAGATTGGTCTAAGGACAAACAAGCTCCGTGGTAGAGTGATATTAAAAGTCCATGTCACCTCACTAGAAATCTGGTATGGACTGTAAAGGATATTTGCACTGTAAGGTTTTACTCCTGTATTCAAATATATGGTAATACCTCGTCTCCAGTAAATACTTCTCAGGTTTAAGATAGCATGATAGTTGTAAATCAGCTCTGAAATTCGACAGCTATAAATGCCATGTGGTATCAGTTAGATCACAAACCAAAGCCAATTTTTCAAAACATTTCCTGCTGGAATACTCACAACATTTTAACAGATGTCTTTTGGCAAGTTTTGAAGCAAAATAATCCCCTATCAGCATATGAAATAAAACCCAGCAGAAAGTAAAATATGGAGTAGAAGGACTTTTTTTTTCTTCTTTGGCCATTAAGAGACAGAATTGGGGAAATCTCAAACTCTTTAGAGAAACACTTGCTCAAAGCCACAGAAGTCAAGGCCTGAACTTTTCTCTCTCACATACACCACCAAAAGATCAAGTTTTGAAAATCGTCTTTCAGTGTTAACTAGAGAAATTTCCTTGGCTACTTTTGAGTATAATATTTGCTATTTCTTGTTCTGAGCACAGATCATACGTATAACTCTGGGTTTGGTTGAGGCAATCTTATGAAAAGCTAGGGGAAACGACTTGAAAATTCAATGGGGCCCACAGAGACCAAAATGGAGGTGAGGCATCGAAGAAGAATCTATTGTTAGGAACAAGGTAGACATGATTGATCCTGGCTTTTTCAACAATGTAGTAATTTAGTCTGAGGCCTCTCAAAATCAATGGTAGGAGGGCCAAAATGAAAGCCTAGGAAAGGAGAAGGAAATGGATTTTTCATTTTTTTCCAGCACGTTTTGTGAAAATATCCATAGTATAGACAAGTTAAAAGAATTATACAGTGAGCACACTGTACATGAGAGATAAACTATTTGGACTTTGAGTCTGACAGTTTGTTTACACTGGAACGGGTTTTCACCTTCATCTAGGAAATGCTCTGACGTGAATAAAATGGTGATCTCCTAACCCTCTTCCCACACAGTTATTCTAAAGAAGCAAGTGTTGTCCCCTGTTGCACTAAGTGATACTTCCCAAAGCAGGCATCCCTGTGGGTATTCTTCCATTACCTGTTGTTTTGCATGCATCTTGCTGGTGGTGTCTTATTTTCCCCTGTGCTATATCATTTTTAACTTTGTACTAAGAGCTCTACTGAAAATGATGTGTAGGTGGAAATAATTTGATGTCATTTCTTTAAGAGCAATTTTATTTAAGAGGAATTTTTGTTTCTTAGTATTGGGCACGCTAAGGTGCTAGCAACACAACAAATATTTATAGGACATTATTCAGTCAGTGGTAATACAGTTATGAATAAATAATGGCTAGCATTTCTCTGAATGAGCAATGGGGTACATTTACATAAAGCCATTAAAGAATAATTTAGTTTATACAAATTTGATCAATGCCCAGCTTTTCTTCAACTTATCCATCAGTACCTATTAAGGAGTGGCATTCTGGTCCAAGTAGAGATGCCCTGAGGTAGCACTGGCTTGCAATTTGACTCTTAGATAATTTAGAGAAAAATTCTATGAACATTGATCATATGAAAATATAATCCAAAACACTCAGAATCATTTTGCTTTCATTGACCAACATCTGGGAGATAGGATAGGTTCAAACACAAGACTCAGACAGTTCATAATTCATGGCAGATATAAAGCCACAGCCCACTTAATATTACATGCAAAGATACGATAAATCTACAGGGAGCCTAATTAGGTTTAGGTGGATGAACCAAAGAGCACCACCTCTCCATTCCAAAGCTCAGGGCTACCCAGTACCTGCATTTGCATGCTGTAGGTTGGGGCTGCTACCAAAATGATACAGAGATACTTAGCTGAGGCTGAATCTGCTGGGGAGTATAATCCAAGGAGACCTTGATTTGATTATAGTAGCCCAAACCAGTGGTCTGCACTGTCTGGATTCAGTCAAGGCCACCCTTAGTCACTGCCAGCTTTTTACCTCATACTTGTTTAATACAAACAGATAAAAAGATAAAGTCTACTCCTCATCTCTCATTCCTGAAAAAATACTCAGCATGAGAGTAGACCTGGGGGATTTATGATGAACTACCAAAATTCATTTGCCAATATTAATTTCCTTCATGTTTTCTGAACTGCAGTCTCTTATGTATTTTTTTTTTGGAATATTTCTTCATGAGCTACCAAAACCTTGAATTGCTTTGAAACAATTTCCTTTCCCATATCAATGTGACACTTTGAGGCTCCCTTTCACTTGCTTCTATAAATTGTTCCTCTATTTTACATATTCCAGTTTCTTATATGAGACTTCTACATCGCCTATGGCTGATTCTTAGGCTAGAACCAGAGTAAGTCCAAGCTCAGATGTATCTAATACATCTCTCAAAATGCATTCCGTCAGTGGAGGAGCCTTTGGCTCTTTAAACTCATTAGTGTTGAGATCTGGTCAAAACAAGCTGGGCAGGAGGAAATGGAATTTGCTCTACATAAAGATTAATGAACAACCCTACCAGTTACAATTTAGAAACTTAAATTAGAATTCGATCTTGAGTGCCTTTCACAATACATGCCTGCCATCAGATTGAGAATAACTAGGTTTAGTATCCACCCAAACCAATTCACTTATGGAACCAGAAGTTTCTGGTGGTTTCCTGTCTAGTTTTATGTACTTACTCTAGTAAGACAGAGGTTTCTATGGTATCTGCTTCCTCCTGAGATCTTGGACGTGCCTCTAATTTCAGTTGGCTTTCTCGTAACTGCTAAAACACATGGATCTCTAGTATCATTTGAGTGGGCAAGTATTTTGGTGAGTTCTTATGAGGGGGCACAACTACTATCATGAAAGACTGAGAGAAAAAGTTAAATACAGAAATTCACAATCTACTAGATGAACACAATGTGTGTGTTCAATGATAATTTGTATAACATTAAAGCCCAGCTATAAGGTAAGTACTATAATATGTGCATAACTGATTCTAAAGCTGGTATAGGTTAGATTCACTGATGTGTCTAGCTTTTGACATTGAAACAAGGCATTGCTATCTACAAAGCTCTTACACAGATATACAAATCAAGTTACTGAAAATAATAGTAAATAAATCACAAAGTTTTGGGTAAGTTTAAAATTTTGTTTTGGGCTACATTCATAGTTATTCTTGCCCATATACAGCCTGTGGGTTTTCTCACCTGGTAGAAGTTCAAGCGTTTCAGCCAGGCATGGTAGGGCATACCTGTAATGCCTGTACCTGGAAAGCTTAGGCAGGATGACTGTGGGTTAGAGATCAACATGGACTGAATAGTGAGTCTCTCAAAACAAACAAACAAGAAAAACTTCAATGTCTTTCTTAATAGATCCTGGAGAGAGACTTCTGATTATCAAATTATTTTCCAAGTAAGATTGGCAATATGATTTGTTTCATCCAATACAAAATAAAACATAGGGCCTTTCCTTCAGTTTAAGTCTTGTGAGATGTTGGTAGCCCAGCATTAAACCATGTATGGGTATGAGTGTGAAGCAGAAACTCTCATGAAACCAATGGTCTTTAAATATGCTTGATGAGAGAGAAGCAAATTGGAGCAGTCTAGACAAGGTGATACATATAGGACATTTTTTCCCAAACAAATCATGGGAAAATAAACTCATTCTAAGGAAAGAATATAATCTAGTCTTTCCCAATTTAGAAAGACTTAGGTGGAAAAGATGGGGAAGTTACAGTAGGTAAAATACCTGCCTTGCAAACATGAGGACCTAAATGTAAAAGCTTGGTATGGTGGCACACACTAATAATCCCAGGGCTGGTGATTATCTGCTGGGAGAAACAAGCAGGTCCCTGAGACTCACTGGCCAGGCATCTTAGCTTATTCGGCAAGCTCCAGGCCACTTAAAGACCCTCACACATACAGAAACTACCAAGCCAACAAAAGACCCAAAATGGATAATTCCTGAGAAATGATGATACCTGAGATTAGCCTCTGTCCTCCACATGTACATGTATATACTTGCATGCATACATACCAACACATATATACACATAACATATACACACACACATACACACACCTGCACACATACATAAACACAGGCATACACACAAAAGATGGGAAAATTATGATTTTCAAAGACATTTTCACAGTTACAAGGTAGACATAAAAATAACCATAGTTGTAAAAGTAGCCAGCACTAGCATATAAAGCATGCTAAGTGCCAAAATTCTAAGAATACTACATATATTTTCCCATTTAATCCTCAGATTAGCCCTGGACAATAGATGCTGTTATTCACCTATCTTACTGCAGATGTTAAAGAATTGCACCTGATCATGTAGGGGAAAAGCCAGGTAGCCAGGATTTGAATTGAAGAACTCTAGATCCAGAACTCTATCCTCTTAGAATAGAATCATTTAGGAGAGAAGTTCTCCCAGAATGGTATTTGTTAGGATCGTTCTATTGTGTACATTTTTAATTTTTTCTTTTGCATTTCATCTTCATAGTTTAACAGCACCCGCTCGCCCTCCCCCATTGAGTGTTGCCACATGGCCCCATGGAGTAGAAAGGTATTGGTTCTGAGAACATTGCTTTGCAGCCTTATCCTGCTCTTTTCAGACACTCTCCCTTTCTTCTCTCTTTTAACTTTATTGCAAACCTGTTTTCAACTAACCGTTTTTCTCTTAAGTCAACTTGAAGGATGGTATTTTCCTAACTTGAATTAACGACAGCCCTGTCGTTGGTTTTGTTCCCTATGAATGTCCCCCTTGGAGCTGCAATTTGCAGCTCTGCTGAGCACAGGCATCCTCTATTGCTGCTCCTGGATTTTGTAGTTTGGGGAAAAGAAATGACAGTTTTCCCTGTATTTATCAGAACTGTAAAAGTTCAGCGTCTCAATTTTTTTTTTTTTTTAAAGGAGATCAAGACAAGAGGATCCTCTGGCAGCCAATTGTCCCTGTCACCATTAAATAAAAAGTGCTTTTGGCTGCTGGTCAGAACCTGGAGTCAGGTCACTATCCTTTAGTCCTTTCAAGTCCATTGTTATTCAAGGAAGGAATCGCCAGCAAAATGAGGCCTCTGGTGGTGGGAGTTTGCTTTCCTGCTGGGCTCCCCGCGCTCAGCTTTCCTGTGTTCCTTTCTCCTCTCTCTCTCTCTCTCTCTCTCTCTCTCTCTCTCTCTCTCTCTCTCTCTCTCTCTCTCTCCCCCCTCTCTCCATCCCCCCATCCCTCCTTCCCTCTCCCTTCCTCCCTCTCTGCATGCACCAAACTTTTTTTTTCTTTTTGAAAGTTACCTAGGAAACAAAGTCTTTTGTGCTCCAACTTTATTTGAGCTATTCGCTTCGCTGGGAATCTGCACAAAAGCTGAAGAGAGAAGAAGTTTGCAATATTTTACTAAACCGTTCATGGCGAACACAATTTTCCCAAGGGGGGGAAATCATATACCGTTGGGTGTATTGGGGGGCTTTGCAGAAACTTCTGATAAGGTAAGTAAATACTGGGGTTTCCTTTAAAAAAAGGGGCTCTGGAGCCTATTCTTTAAGGAGACTTGAGGACAGTTCATTTGACAGTACATGCGATCCTGAGCCAATAGTACAGTTTCCAATGTGAACTCTAGAGAGATTTTTTTTTTTTGAATCCTGATTTTAGGACAAAGTATTATTAAAACCTTACTGAAATAAGAGGAAATGAAATACTTATTTTATACAGTTACCCATCTTCCTCTGAACTGTATAAAGAAAGAAAACTGGGTTCAATGGTGGAAACTGGGTCTTTTACTACTCTGGTTTAGAAAGTCAACCCTGAAACCAAAAGTGGGATGGGGCCTTTTGAATAATCTGGGCCTGGAGCCCAAGCTTGAAATAAAAGTTAGACAGTATTAATATTTGCCAAAGGCTTGGATAGACAGTTTTCAAATGTCGTATAGAAAATCAAAGTCTCTAGCTTCCACAGCTGGAAGGAAAGTTTTGCACCACAAAGCTGGAAGAAAATAAACTAGAACTCTTCCACCCATCTAAATTCAAAAGAGAAACTCCCTTCAATCTTTCCCTCCAGAAACATAGTAGTCGAATACTGGGGCACATCTTTACTTTGGCTTTTCTACAGCCATCGAACGTCAGTTAAACTGACTTTTTAAAATGTCATTTCCCAAAGCTGTCTTCCTGCAGTGCAATTAAGTCCTGGAGTTTTGGTGGCCTCCTGAGTTAGGCTGGCGGATTGGTTATTCTCCAGGTGGTCTATTCCAGACTGTCTCATGTCTCCAGGTTTTCTTCAGGGTCTCTGAGAATTTTTATAGGCGTTTAGCTCATCTGCCATCCTGGATCATCATGGTCTAGAGCTCTCAAGATATTTGACAGGAATTCATAGTGACATAAACATACAGAAAGTAGATCTACCTTTCACTGGATTAGAGACAGACAGTTTTCAGTTTGAAGGGATAGGATTTCTGACTAATTTGTCTCTTAATTCTATTTCACCTGAAAAGCATGTTTTATGGGCCCATTTTTCCCTTCTGTATCTCTTCACTGTTGAAACAAAATTTCTAATTAGTTGTGCTTACTATTTTCTAGGACTGTTTCCTTTGTCCTACATGCTTATTTCTAGCCTTATTTTAAAAGGCTGAACTATGAAATCCCTTATGCATATAAGGTATGAGAAGTGAATCTGAATGTATTTTGTTTGCAGTCCCACTCTCCAGAGGATGAAGAAACAGATGTCATGTTAGGACAGAGGCCGAAAAATCCAATACACAATGTCCCCTCTACACTGGACAAGCAGACCAACTGGAGCAAAGCGCTACCTCTCCCGACTCCTGAGGAGAAGATGAAACAAGATGCTCAAGTGATTTCTTCTTGCATTATTCCCATCAATGTCACTGGTATCGTTTTCTTTTTTTCCTTTGGGACAGTTGGGTCTGAACATTCCATGTATTAAGGATGTTCAAAACACGTGCTGTTAGCCTCTCTATCAGCTAAGAATATACTTTTGTTGTGAGCAAGAAATCTATTGTCAACATACAAGTCAGGGGATATTCAGTATGCTTTTGTCGGGTTTTGAACACCAATTTGCATATATTCTGCTGGACTGCTTGTTATGTAAATGATGGACAGTTTCTTTAAAAAAATCACCAAATAGCTCGTTGGCAGTGATTAATCACATGATAATGATGCGTGGCACCGTAAGAAAGAAAACAGCAAAACCCAGGTTTCTAAAACTGCAAGAAAGGTCCTGTCGACCAACTAGAGAATCTGTTTTCATGCTTCCCTGGAGGAAGGTAGGCTTTTCGACAAGACCACTTAGACTCCTGTATTGATTTTAGGGATTTTTGACCTGAAAATATGTAGCTACAGAGATGAGGGGCAAATTGTGTTTCAAAATCTGAGCAAGCCTGGCTTCCTTTCACTTTCTGCTATTGTATGTATTAAAGTTTGCATATTAGTCTAGATAGGATGAAGCTCAGCTGGACTTTTCTTCAAAGTCTATTAGCAGAATTCTGGAGCTGGAACTGGGAATAATTTTAGTTGTAATCAGATGATGTTTTAGTTTTTAAAGGAATATCTAGGTTAGCATACAAAGTAATAGGTTTAATGATGTGATTTGTGTGCATGTGTGTGTGTACGTGTGTGTGTGTGTGTGTGTGTGTGTGTGTGTGTGTGTGTGTGTGTGTGTGAGAGAGAGAGAGAGAGAGAGAGAGAGAGAGAGAGAGAAAGAGAAAGAGAGAGAATTATACTTTGTTCTCCACCATTCTCCCCCAAATTAAATGATCTCCACATTGGTATTTTTAAACCCTCTCGTAGTTCCCTTTACCTTACTTATGTAATGAAAATTTCAAAACCAGTCGCCCTATGGCTGGCTTTCATCTTTATTTCCCATAACTAAAGATTGCATGTACCCTAAGAAGAATTGTGGACATTGCTATTATTAATGCCACTCAGATTTCTCTCACCTAGAGTGGGGAACAAATGGACTGGGTATCTGGGACAGATATTTTTTTCCCTCCTGAATGAGAGGTACTCTAATGCATTGGCCAGTTGTGTCGTGAGCTGAGACTTAATTTTCCTGCTGACCTATTCAACTTATGGGATAAATTATTCTGAAGATGTGCACTTCTCTGACCTCTATAATCTAAAGGAGATATGTTAGGGGAGTTCATCTGCCAAAATGGATCATTCTGGCACCCCTTTAAACTAATTTTCAGTCTGAGAACATCTGACTATTAGCAGCCCTGCTTCCTTTCTGCTACTGTAAGTAAAATCTTGTTTTCAAATGTAGTACTGTGATTATGGACCATCATCTTGTGATTAGTAAAAAGAGAAGATTTTTCTCTCAGTTTTATTTCAGGAACTCTCAAGATGAAGGCCCAGATTAGATGTTGATTTCAAGAGCTTCAATGAGAATAATGTTAATGATGTCCATATAATATGCAGTGTCTGTGAATCATGTATTCAATAATCATTAAGATTCAGATGAAGGATTTTGGTTTGTGATTGGAAGCAAGAAAGGAAAATACCTTTCATATGAATTCTCTGATAACATTGTAATCATTCATATCATGACACAGATATTTCAAAGTGAGCCTAAAAACTGTTGTCACTGTGATGCTATACAGATGACCCAAGGTTTAACAGTTAGGAAAAATGATGAGGTGATCAAATCCCAAAGCACAGCCTTCCACATTTCTTAGCCACAGCTTGCACTGAAAAATCCACAGTGTGTGATTGTGCCTGACAGAGTCTGAATTCCTTACCTTCTTCCTCGTTCTTCTAATATAGTAGAACCACATATAGTGCTACTAATGTGATTACAGAGAAGAACTAAAAAGCACCATGTTTGGTTCCTGCATGCATAATAACAAACAATACTTTAAAGGCTGGGGAGTCTATCCTATAGTTGATTGGAACTCCTCTGTATGTTTATTTCCAAACCAAAAAGCACCCAGTTTAGTCACAAGAAGAAAGTAGAGTTAGAAGATTATTGAAAAGATGAAAGACCTAATCTGTTGTGCTGTTGTGTTTCCTCACAGCAGTGTGTGTGTGTGTGTGTGTGTGTGTGTGTGTGTGTGTGTGTGTGTGTGTGTGTGTAAATGCTTGGAGAAGTTTGGGTATACGAGGTGGAGGGAGAAAAACTCACAAAGACGCTTTTAATGAAGAAATGGGTCAGGATACATTAGGTTCACATCTTGGGTACTGATCTACTATGTAAAGGTATCAGTTTCAGAGAGCCCAGAAATAGACCAGTAAATAATAGTGACTAAAGGTGTATAACCAGTTCAGTGGGAGAGGGCTTGCCTGATGTCCCTTTCTTTACCCTCTTTCTTTTCGTTTTCCTCTTTTGATTGTTGCTTTTGACTTTGCAAGCTGTTGTGGGAAGCTGCATTTAGAAGTAAACCTTTAAATAAGGGCTGAAGAAGGTCTCTCTTATATTTTGTTCACAGGCTTAATCCAAAGTCTTCCCTGACTTCCAATCAATAAATATCACTGTGTTGCAAGTAAATGAAAATTTGTCTGCTACTTTTAAGGCTAATGAGACCTATTTATGGGTTGCAGGAGTTGGTTTTGACAGAGAAGCTAGTATACGCTGTTCTCTTGTTCATTCACAATCCGTGCTACAGCGGAGACGAAAATTGAGGAGAAGGAAAACCATCTCGGGGATTCCCAGAAGAGTTCAACAAGAAATAGGTGTGTCATAAAAATGTTCATGGTTTCTGTCTAGTGAAGGTGAAAGGAGAGGAAATAGGTCCCCACTTTCAACTGCCTTCAACTATAACATTACTTATAAATATTGAATGTTTTAATGTGTAGTAGTTTTAAACTACTGTATATTTATTTTGCATTCAGAAAACATTTCGGCATTATTTTTTTAACTCTGTTCTTGAACATAAAGGCTTAACCTTATAGATTTAAGCATTCCTGGTGAAATATAATGTGCCTTGCCAATTCAAATGTTTCATTTTAAGATAGGAATATAAACAAAGATTCATTGCAAGAGTTTTTTTTAAACTGTAGCTTCATTTGAAGAGAAATATACTTTTATGTTTTAATTATTTTTCAAGTAAATTTTAAACATATTCCAATATGGAATCTTAAAAATATAATACCTTTGGGGACATTTAAAATTTTTCTATTCAATGTATTTATAATATTTCTACCAATTTCAAAATATTATGGTAGCAGCTCCATGTAAATAAGACTTTAATTTTTATAATGAAATCATTCTATTCCTTTATGCTTGGATTTCAAAACATGTGAAAGTAGTGGCCAGGACTCTAGATTTTGTACTTGAGCTGTTTTTTGTTTTTTGATTATTTTTATCATTTTCTTTTATGAAAGCAGTCACTTGTTGGAGTAAATTAATGTGAAGAGAGATGATTCATAAAAAGCAAAAAGCATATCTTCTCTCAATAAGTATACATGTTGCATGTATGTGTGTGTGTGTGTGTGTGTGTGTGTGTGTGTGTGTATGTATGTACACATATTCAAATATTCATGTAGATAGAAACAGACAAATCAGGGACAGAAAACATTTGAACTTTCTCCTAATTTTAGATACTGTTTTTTGTTTTTGTTTTTCTGTAGGAGAAGGTTCTAATATGGTAGCACACAGATTTAGAAACACCCCTCAAAATGCCTGTTAGTCTGCCGATATGTAATACCTAACAGTGTTTTCCATGTGCCCTAGATTCTGATGAATCACCAGTGGCCAGGGAAAGGAATGTGATTGTGCACACAAACCCAGACCCCTCCAACACTGTCAATAGGAGGTCCGGAACCAGGGATTCCGAATGCCAAACTGAAGATATTCTGATTGCTGCCCCATCCAGAAGGAGAATCAGAGCTCAACGGGGTCAAAGCATTGCAGCTTCCCTTTCTCATTCTGCTGGCAACATCTCTGCACTGGCAGACAAAGGCGATACCATGTTTACTCCTGTAGTGAGCAGCCGCACAAGATCTCGGAGCCTCCCTCGGGAGGGAAATAGAGGTGGAGATGCTGAATCCAAAGTTGGTGCTAAGCCCTCAGCATATGAAGAAGGGGCGCCTTTCGTGGGTGACCATGAAAGAACCCCTAATGATTGTAGTGAAGCGCCGAACAGCCCAAGTGCAAAGGAACACCAGCCTGCTTTGGGCCTGGCCTGTTCTCAACATCTTCACAGCCCTCAGCACAAGTTAAGTGAGAGAGGGAGGTCGCGCCTGTCCCGAATGGCGGCTGACTCTGGAAGCTGTGACATCTCCTCCAACTCAGACACCTTTGGAAGCCCCATCCATTGCATTTCCACGGCTAGTGTCCTCCTTAGCAGCCACATGGACCAGAAAGATGACCACCAGTCGTCCAGTGGTAATTGGAGTGGGAGCAGCTCTACATGCCCATCACAGACCTCAGAGACAATCCCTCCAGCAGCTTCTCCTCCCCTCACTGGCTCTTCGCACTGTGACTCAGAATTGTCACTGAACACTGCTCCTACTGCTAATGAAGACACCAGTGTCTTTGTGACAGAACAGTACAATGACCACTTGGATAAAGTAAGAGGCCACCGGACAAACTCCTTCACCTCCACTGTTGCAGATCTGCTGGATGATGCCAACAACAGCAATACCAGTGACAGTGAGTGGAATTATCTGCACCACCATCATGATGCATCCTGCCGCCAAGATTTTAGTCCTGAGCGTCCAAAGGCAGATAGCCTGGGCTGCCCAAGCTTCACAAGCATGGGTACCTATGACAGCTTTCTGGAAAAGTCTCCTTCAGACAAAGCAGATACTAGCTCTCATTTCTCAGTGGACACAGAAGGATACTATACCTCGATGCACTTTGACTGTGGTCTCAAAGGTAATAAGAGCTATGTCTGTCACTATGCAGGCCTGGGCCCAGAGAATGGTCAGGGTGTAGGAGTTCCTCCTGGTCTTCCGGACTGTGCCTGGCAAGACTACATAGACCACAGGAGGCAGGGGAGACCAAGCATCTCTTTCAGGAAACCAAAGGCAAAGCCAACTCCACCTAAACGTAGCTCATCGTTGAGAAAGTCCGATGAAAATGCAGACATTTCTGAGAAGAAAGAACCAAAGATAAGCACTGGTCAGCATCTGCCTCACAGTTCCAGGGAAATGAAGCTGCCTCTTGATTTCTCCAACACGCCTTCTCGAGTGGAAAACGCCAATCTGCCTGCAAAGCAGGACTCTTCTTGGATAAACCAGAGTGAACATGCTATTAAGGAACCTCAGTTGGATGCTACAGACATTTCACCATTCAAAGATGAAGGTGCTGAATCAACTCACTATGCAGACCTCTGGCTTCTAAATGACTTGAAAACAAATGATCCTTACAGATCCTTATCTAATTCAAGCACTGCTACGGGTACCACAGTAATCGAGTGCATCAAATCTCCGGAGAGCTCTGAATCCCAGACATCCCAGTCAGAATCAAGGGCAACCACCCCATCTCTTCCTTCTGTCGACAATGAGTTTAAACTGGCTTCACCAGAAAAGCTGGCTGGCTTAGCATCTCCATCAAGTGGCTACTCAAGCCAGTCGGAGACGCCAACCTCCTCTTTCCCTACGGCTTTCTTTTCAGGTCCATTGTCTCCTGGAGGTAGCAAAAGAAAACCTAAAGTCCCAGAAAGGAAATCCTCACTACAGCAACCATCTTTAAAGGATGGAGCCCTATCATTGAATAAAGATTTGGAACTTCCAATTATACCTCCTACTCATCTTGACCTAAGTGCTCTTCATAATGTTTTGAATAAACCATTCCCCCACCGTCATCCATTGCATGTTTTTACTCATAAACAGAACACAGTAGGAGATATGCTGAGGTCAAATCCTCCTCCTCCATCTCTTGCAATTACACCAACAGTCCTGAAATCGGTCAACCTGAGGTCCATCAGTAAGTCTGAAGAAGTTAAGCAGAAGGAGGGCAACAATACAGATCTCCCCTGCTTAGAAGAGAGTACTGTCACAGTGGCTTCTGTGGCTTCTTCATCTCCAGGTAAAACAAGGCCACATACAGCAAAGAAATCAATATCACGCCAGTACTCTGCTGAAGACACCCTCCTGTCCTTTTTAGATTCCTCTGCAGTTGAAATGGGGCCAGAGAAACATTTGGAAAAGAACCCCACTTTGGATGTGAAGAGTCACTGCGATCCAGAAACTGTAGCCTCAGCTAGTAGCAATCATCCAGATTCAAATGTGATGAAAGACCAAATACGGATGGAAAGTGAGCTTATTCCAGAAAACATTCCTAGTAAGAACTGTGGATTTTCAACAGGATTTCAGAGGGTGTCTGCTGCCCGCCCCAGTGATTTGGGTAGTAAAATGATGCAGTATGGAGCTAGTCCAGATGGAGCCCCACAACAAGGACAGAAGGCACCCTCTGGAGTAGGGGAAGAAGGTGTGAAACCAGAATCTGTGGATGGAATCGCATTTCAAGCTAACTCACCAACTAGAATAACAGACATAAGCAGTCAACATAAGCATCGTATTGTGAGCCGCCACCATGAAAAAGTGCCTGTGACTATCCGCCATGAGTCAGAGATGTCAACTATAAATTCATTCCCTGAAAAATGTTCTGAGCAGGAAAATATTGCTTCAGGTATTTCACCCAAAAGTGCCTCTGATAACAGCAGAGCAGAGGAGACCCAAGGAAGTATGGATGAGACTTCATTGAAAGGTCAGTTAATGATACCTTTGTTAGGGTGGAAATGTGTCCTATATTGTTTCCTGTGTTCCCTATAGTTCTCTATAGCCCTGGGTGTTGGTTTACCTCTGCCATTTCTTTTTCACTTATTAAGACAACTGAGAAGAAAGCTGTTGTTATTTAGGAACTAATATTTGGCAGATATCTTTCTCATTTCAAAAACTGTGGTAAGGTACCTTTTGCTTGTTTGATCCTGGAGTCAGGGAAACAGGGTAGTGAGATGTGTAGCTACCCCTTAAAGATGTTTCTGTTCTTGTTTTTAAGAATCATCACCAAGTGATGACTCCATCACTTCACCACTCAGTGAAGACTCTCAAGCTGAAGCTGAGGGTGTGTTTGTGTCTCCAAACAAACCTCGAACAACTGAGGATCTATTCGCTGTCATTCACAGGTGAGAGAGTGTGACCAATTTCCTAGAAACAAAAGGCACAGAAAAGGGTTTGCCTCCTGAAGGGCCTCTCATCAAATGTAAACGTGGGAAAGCATTTTGTACCTGTAGTAATACAACAAAACCAAAAGCAAGCCAGGAAGAATTATCTTTCCAACTCAACTTCATAGACTTGCATGCATGTTTGAAAATAAGTCTAGACAGACAGACATAGAGTTCAATTAAGAGAGTTCAGTAAGAATCACTGAAGGGAAGATACTGGATGATTTCCCGAGGAAAGACATTTTGGAACAGATTTACATGTGAAAACAATTCATAGCTAGATGACTTGGAGTGAAAGCCCACTTTTAAGTGTAACCTCTGTTGTGCATATTATATTTTGTATTTATTTACCTCTGCAATACTAGAGATCAAACCCAGGACCTTATACATGCTAGGAAAGCACTCTGCCACTGAGTTATACCCTTAACCCCTGGCTTTTAAATAATCCCTTGGGTCTACAAAATATGCTCAAAGCTGTAATCTCACACTAGCTGATGCAAACATATGTTGATTTGCCAAAACAGTCTGAGCCCATCTCAGCTTGGAACAACTGAAAACTGCTCTCTTTTATTGTTTCTTTTTAAAAATTAAATTTCTTTCATGACACTTTTTTTTTTTTTTTTTTTTTTTTTTTTTTGGTTTTTCGAGACAGGGTTTCTCTGTGTAGCTTTGCGCCTTTCCTGGAACTCACTTGGTAGTCCAGGCTGGCCTCGAACTCACAGAGATCCGCCTGGCTCTGCCTCCCGAGTGCTGGGATTAAAGGCGTGCGCCACCACCGCCCGGCTCATGACACTTATTTTTATCTGTAAAATGAAAGACCATATCCCATGAATAGGGGATGTTCTCTGGGTTGCTTTCCCAGAACATGGTTGTGCCTTTGCTGCCCATGCACACTTTCTCTTTTGTACCTTTATAACCTGTTATCAATGGCCCGTATTGCAACAACCCATTATAGCTGCTGACCAGAAAAGCAGAGCCAGAACTCATCCTTGGAAGCAAACTCATAGCCACTGAACCAAATGATGCTACATGTGCTCTTTCCACAAACATGAGTCCCTTCTTCCACCTGGCCTTGGGGACCTAGATGGAATTCCCAAAGGATAGAACCTGGGGATTATCTTTCCTTTTTCACAGCCTTATGATTTTGGAAGAAATCTCTCTTGCCACCCCTTGGGCTTCTGTTTTAAAAGGGTTTCTCTTTTCTGTTTGTGCTGCTCTTTTTTGTTTTTTTAAAGTAGGAGCACTGCTCTTTAGAAATGGCATTTTCCTAAGGGTTCCATTAGTAGTACCCTCTGTGTGTACCTTACCAGGCAGTCTTCCCCAGAAACAGGGCAAGACTCACCAGTTTATGTTCTTCCCCACAGTCTAAAGGCCGATTATATTCCTCTAATCCTCAGACTTCATCTCCAAACTCAGCCCAAATTATTAATTTGCTATGTAAGCTAATGAACCCTCAGAGAACTATGTGGTGTTTCTGGAATAGTGGGCAGGACACACGTTGTAGAATCAGAAAGGCGTTGGGTTAGAGTCTTGACAGTGTTGCCAGCATGGGCACGCTCCTCAGGAATCTGGGAAGGCAAAGCTCACATTCCCTTTACCACACAAGGTTTTCAGGTGGTGAGAGAACATGCTGCCAGAGTCAGGAATAACTGAGTTATACTGAAGATTCATTGAGTTTATGCCCACTTAATTCAAAATAAGATCAATAGTTTCATGATGGAAATAGAGGTTAGGTAGATTTAAGGAGTTTGGTAATCTTAGATTTGTATTTGTGTAGGATTTGCCTGTTTATTTACATCCCAGTGACAAGAGTTATTTTGCTCTCTTGAGAGCTTAGGTTATATAATATTTTAAGAGCTCCAGAGATTCTGTGTTTTCAGTTCCTCACAAAGAGTTGATGTACTGCTTGATATGCTGTAGATGTCCCTGAGTAGCTAAGGGTTGTCGTATTTGTATTCAGAAGCAGACTGATTTATTTTAAAAGTCACTTAACTCATTTTTCATGTGCAGTAGATTAAAATGTAGTTTTAATTTGTAAAGTGTAGGCTAGTCTCCAGCACAGACCTCCATTGCTCATCACCGAGGCCCATCAGGTATCAAGCTAAGGCCAGCTGTATCCCACCGACGCCATTCTCCACTTGCTGCACTTATTATTTGGAAGCTGGTTGTTGATGTGAGAATATTCTTCTGTATTGTACAGACAGGTTTAGTGAGGAAAAAGCAACAGGCTTTCCCCACACTGTAAATAGAAGTCGGCAGGATTTTCCCCCTTCAACTCTAGGAGGGGCAGTAATGAACCTTAACCTTCCTCCGTATGGTGCTAAAGCTTAGTATTCTACCATATAGGATGCTCTTTAAATACAATAGATATGGGAATCAGATGAACACTTCTTGGTTCATAAAATTGTGTGTGGACTAAGATTTTTACCCCATTTTCTCTTTTCTTAAAAGATCCAAGAGGAAAGTCCTTGGAAGAAAAGATTCTGGGGACATGGCTGTTAGAAGCAAGTCCAGAGTTCCCCTCGGCAGCAATAGCAGCGGTGCCAGCTCTGTCCCTTCAACCAGCAGCACTGTGACAGCTGGGACTAGCCAGAGGTCTCCTGGTCTCATCTACCGAAACGCCAAAAAGTCCAACACATCCAACGAAGAGTTTAAGCTCCTGCTTCTCAAGAAAGGCAGTCGCTCAGATTCTAGTTACCGCATGTCTGCCACGGAAATCCTGAAGAGCCCTATCCTGCCCAAGCCTCCTGGAGAGTTCACTTCAGAGTCCCCACAAAGCCCCGATGATACCCACCAGGGCACACCTGGGGCTGAAGCACTGTCCCCTCTGTCACCGTGCTCTCCACGAGTCAATGCAGAAGGATTTTCCTCGAAAAGCTTTGCCACCTCAGCGTCAGCGCGGGTTGGACGTTCCCGGGCCCCGCCTGTGGCCAGCAGCAGCCGCTACAGTGTCCGCTGCCGCCTGTACAATACGCCGATGCAGGCCATCTCCGAGGGAGAGACTGAAAACTCTGACGGGAGCCCACATGATGACCGATCCTCCCAGAGCTCCACATAGTTTGCCTGGGCCACGCTGACCTCAGATGTCTAACCCCTTACTAAGGAAAGGATTTTGTGACACCATAGAGGGGGAGAAGTGGCAATGGGGCGGGGCGGGGCGGGGGAGGGGGGCGGTTTGGCATCATTGCTTGGCAATGAGCTTCTAAATATGTGTTGGAGAAACAGAAAGTGGTTGAGTCATTTTTATTAGTTTTCATGTTTTAGGTAGCAGTTCTGTCTGTCGTGGTTTTCTTTAGCGTAGTTTGATTTACCCGATCTCATTCCTTGTGATAATAGAGAATACAAAAATATCTAACTTTCTTGAAACCTAGACAAGATTTTCCCAGAGCTGCCTATTCCGAAAATAAAGCCCTCACTGTCATACTTTAAGAAGATTAAATTACTCTGGAGGTTTGGTATTTTTTTACATTAAAATGAACTAAAGCAAAATTTAGATGAAAGAACTACACATATGTAAATACCATATTTTTGATAAAATGTGTAAATAGATTTATCAATGATGAGTGGACAAGTGGCCAATTATCTACCACACACCAACTGTTTATAGGACACACACAAAGTATAATAACTGTATTCTGTGAATACCATTTTCATATCAGATACCATATTTAAATGTCCACCAACATGATTTCTGAGTGATAAACCTCAAATATGAATTTAAAACTGGTGAAATAATGGAAATATTGAGGTCATGTACTGAAATGTGATAAATTTAAAATAGTGAATTCAGACCTAATCATTGTTGTGACAAATTATAGCAGAAACAAGCTAATGTCAGTTTGTGGCTGTGATTTGCCATGTGGCAATTTGAACAGAATGAAAAGCATGCTTTTGATTTTTTTTTTAACCAATGAGAGAAATCATCATTCTCAATGGAAAGACCCCCCCTCCCCCAATAGCATTAAACAGTGTCCTTTAGAATCTAATTTTTTCAATGGATTGCTTTAAGGAGAATGAGTAGAGAAACCAGTAGTTAATTTTAGGTCTTGTTTTATATAAGGCTACTGGGGACAAAGAGTCATACTCTAATGACTATACTCTTTAAGCTTCTTAATTAGCTCCAGGTTCTTAAACTAACAAATAAAACCTAAGCATGCCACAGAGCTATTGAATTCTCAGTAAGTACCTGCGATGAGTTTTCAGCGAAGCTTTTTCTCTGTGCTGATGAGATTCATGCTACCTAAAACTTAACAGAAATGACACTGTGAACAATGTAGTTGGGAAATAGGTATGTGTATATGCATTATTTATATTCACTCTTCAACTGGGCATGGGGAGCAGCTCTGGTTCACAATGCTACATACAACGAATTTTTGTCTGGTTTTACTAGATCTGCTTGATGGCAAAAGGGGAGGGTGGTGGGTGGGAAAGGAAATGTCAGGGAAAGTGCCCTGATAAAATGAAGGCAGGGAAACAAGCTGAATTACTTGAAATTACTTGAATTTTCTTGTCTTAAAACTGAAAAAAAAAAAGTATAGTAACAAGTTGAAATCTGCAAGTGGTTCTCACACCTCTGATTTTAACATGAACTGATACTGTGTTTGAAATCATATGTCAGAAATATAAGCACCTATGTACTTAGAATAGGTTTTGATGGAGCAGTAGAAATTAGAACTGAGAAGGGGCCTGATCTGTGAAAGACTAGAACGTGACGACAATGACAGAACACGCCAGGGTTACCAAAAGATTGATAGGCAGCTGGCGTTATGCCTCAGCAAGTAGTATTGGAGAAAGGAAGATGGATGAAAGGATTAACTCATGCTAAATGAAGGAGAAAGTCTGGTCTAAGAAGACAATGTCTTTCAAGAGAAATTTGTTATAATAATATTTACAGATTAAGAATTAAAGAATCTGTTGTTTGTGTTTTGTTTGTTTGGGGGGGGAAAGTCTGGCTTCTTCTATTGTTTGTCTTTACTACAAAATTGTATTAGTTAAGTTCTTGTCATTGGTGTATGTAAAATGGGTGTTGGGGGTGGAGGGGTGGAGGAGGAGACTGAGAAACTGGGAGAGAGAATGAGAGAGAGCGAGAGAGTGGGAGAGCAAGTGTGTGCTGGGGATAGAAAAACTACCTGGTCAAGGGTTGGAACAGATACAACGTGTTGTAATTTTATTAAAAGAAAAATGTTGGGGATTGAAAAAAATGACCATCATTTATCATTGGAACATGTAACTCATTCAAAAACAAAAACAAACAACATACACATGCACACAACCAGCATGGGTTTACATCATGTGGAGTCATGAACAAATCTGTCTCATGCTTTGAGAAGTACGCTCCACAAAATTTTAAAAATCAAAGTTTTTAGACAAATGTGATAAGGAACCATCATTTCCAGTCACAATAGGTGATCATTTGTAATTTTCATAAAAGCAGTTCGTTTGCAGTATGGCTTTTGTGTAGCTAGGGGGTTTTTTAGTGTGAAGAAAGGTATGTGGGCTTTAAAAGTGATTCTAAACCTTGAATAGAAAAACACATAAATTGGCTTTAATAAAAATGTCACCTTTTATTATTGACATTAATTTAAGTAATCGTACCATATATTTTTAAAAATACATGTTTGACTTGAATTGTGAGGCAATAAGGTACCATTAATGTGATGATCACAGAACCAACCCTTATAATATAGTTTTACTTATTTTGTTTACTCTAAAAATCTATAGCAGAGTTTCTCTATTTTGTATTTCATATATTTAAAGAAATCCCAAATAAAGATGGATTTTAGATTCACTGTGGACAAAATATTAAATATGAAAGTTTTAAAAGCAACCAAATCCTTAAAAAAATCTGGAATAGTCTACACGGCTTTATAATATACTAAATAAGACCAAGATGCAGGGCTGTCTTTAACATCACTGTCAGCTTGAAGCAGGGTACACACATTAGGTATTGTTGAAAAAAATAAAAGCAAACAACAGCAACAACAACAAAATAAACCCAAAACAAATTGAAACTTTTATTCTGTTGTTTGCACTGATGCTATTTTCTTCTTCTTCTTCTTCTTCTTCTTCTTCTTCTTCTTCTTCTTCTTCTTCTTCTTCTTCTTCTTCTTCTTCTTCTTCTTCTTCTTCTTCTTCTTCTTCTTCTTCTTCTTCTGTGTTTATCCAACATGTTTATGTTGTGTGGGGGAATTCTGTTTTACTTTCTTGCTTTCTGGTGATTCTGGTTTGATTTTTTTCTTGTTTTGTTTTTGGCTAAGTAGAGGACATGGACTAGTTGTGGCAAACAAAACATCCGGTTTGCTCTTGCCACTGAGCACATTCTCTGTAGTGGTGGTTGCTTAGAGGATGAGATAGTAACAAAGTTTGAACTCTGAAGGTTATGGTGTTAACTATTTTGGTACTAGAACCAGTTCATGCTGGCCGAAAAGACAATGGTTTTTGGACTTGCATCCATTTTGTATTTTTGTAACATTTGTAAATATGAACTTTTTAAATTGTTGCAAAATGGTTTCTTTTGTAAAATGTTTTCAACGTTTACATTCAATCCAAGCCTTTGTATATTTTACAGCTGTGCAACACTTTAAGTCTTGTATTTATTTTTAGTAAAAGCGGTGACAGTTTCATTGTGAACCCCTCTCAAAAAATGTATCAGAACAGTTTGATTACCTAGAAAGTGTGTATAGAGACTGCAAATAAACGTGACTGCAATTAAAGAACTGGGTTTTCTCTTTATTGTTGTGTAACTATAGTTTGGAGGTTTCACAAGCAGGAAGTGTTTCATAGGCAACCACATATAAAGGAGGGGTTTATTAGCAGGAAAGCATGGTATCAATAACAGATACTAATCTAGTTTCATTTTTAGTAGGGAATGATATATTTCCAATGCCCAAGCTACTTGTGGCTCCTTTCTACACCAGATTAAGATTTGTGACTTTAGCCGGGTGGTGGTGGCACATGCCTTTAATCCCAGCACTCAGAAGGCAGAGGCAGGCAGATCTCTGTGAGTTTGAGGCCAGCCTGGTCTACAGAGCTAGTCCAGGACAGGCCCAAAAACGACACAGAGAAACCCTCTCTCGAAAAACCAAAAAAAAAAAAAAAAAAAAAAAAAAGTGACTTTATTTTGAAACACTTGACTGCTTTGTTTCAGAGATTATTATAGCCATACATCCAAAAGCATTGATATATGTAAGATAAATTGCCACTAGTTATGTCACATCAGCTTTATTATAAACTCCTGTCTCAAGCACTAAGTACTTAGGGTACACTAATGTGTGTACTTCCCAAGATATGCCCATTTTATACTGGAGAAAACTCAACACGATTATGATTTAGCTTACACATTGCTTTAGAATAAGTAAGTGTTGGTCATGATGTTTAAATAAACAACTATGACACTGGGATATGTTAATTGTTAGTTAGTTCTCCGTCTGTGCTTATTGAAACGAAATAACTTTACTAGTGTTCCTAGGCTACCAAGAAAAGATTCGTTGCTAAGACCCCCCAGCCCCTCTCCCCATTCAAGTTTTAGCACTGAAGTGTACCCCTGGAGCCCAGTCATCATGGACATCTCTAGTGGATTACAGGAGGAGGAAAAGGGTATGTGATTATATGTTAATAGTAACATGCTTTAAATAACCAAACGAAAGTGCTTGCCACACAGTAAGCTGGCCCTTTGAATCACTTTTGGGACTAGAAGTTGTACTAGTTAGCCCAGGCGCCAGTGTCTCCACAAAAAAACTCTGCTTGAGAGGCTCTCTAGAGGCTGTCCTTCTAATCGTCTCAGCTAATGTAAGTCTAGGATCCGAGACCCAGCTTTGAACCTTCGAAACCAGAGCCTTTGCTTCTCAGTAGACAGAAAGACCCTCTTCACTGGAAACCTTCCCTTTCTATGTCCTATCTCCATCTGGTGTGAAAACTCCCATTCTAAATAGCTTTTTGATCATCCACGGGATTTACTGGCCAATGCTCAGATTATGTTTATGGATGACTACTGATTGGTTATCACAATCGCCTGATCAGTCACACAAGCCATGAACACGCATAGTTTTACGATCAGGCACTTTACAATCCTGAGCTTTGCGACACAGAATGCGTCAGGATCACCTGATTTCCGGCACGTGGACAGTTAAAAGGCATCAACAGATCTTAACGGTCATTAAAGGTTGCCGGGCATCTAGATGGACTCCTAGCGCCCTGCCGGTAGATTTCTAGAAGCTTCCGGAAGCTAGTGTAGCCGATTCTTCATAAAAATACGTAAGTTATGGATATCTTAGAACCCCCTTTTAACTTTTTTGTCGTGGGTGGGTGGGTGTGAGTGTACTAATGTAGAAAACGGTCCTCTGAAGCATTTGGCCTAGTGGTGCCCTCTGGGGGTGAGAAGATACGTTTGGCAGGAATGGCAAATCTGTACTTTGCCGCCTCAAATTTCAAAAGCTCTGTAGTCAGGTGATTCCAATAATGTTTTGGTCTCCAGGCCACCAGCACTTGTGATCTGTTAGTGGACTTGGCGGTTAGCCACTCTTTGGTTTTTCGAGACAGGGTTTCTCTGTGTAGCTTTGCGCCTTTCCTGGATCTCGCTCTGTAGTCCAGGCTGGCCTCGAACTCACAGAGATCCGCCTGCCTCTGCCTCCCGAGTGCTGGGATTAAAGGTGTATGCTTGCCTCGACATTTTTATTGGAAATATGTTAGTGGGGAGGAAGAAAAAGATCTAGAGAGGTGTTGAGGAGGCCTTCCGGAGTATTTATCATTTGCTTTCCAGTGGGCAGATGTGCCTTCCGGGAACAACTGTAAAATATCTGGATCCCTGTAAGGCCCAGCAGTTTTGGGATATGCTTCTGGGACTGGCTAAGTGCTTTGTGCTCCTTAGATTTTTTTTTTTTAAAAAGGCTCTAATCTGTTAGGAATCATTTGGCTCCCTCCTCTCCTGCTTTTCTCCATATTCAGGTTACCGTTGTAATTTGCCATGTATGTTGTTAAGGAGAGTGAAAGGTTGATTTCAACCCTTCAGTCAGTGTGATCTATATATTTAATGGGATATATTGATGGGATGCAGTTTTCACAATTTGGGCTGCTTTGGGGTTTTATAACATTGAAAGGCCTAGATGCTGTAAGTTGCGTTTTGTCTTTTTAAGAAGTCTTAGAATCACAGTTTGTTTTCAGCCATCTTAGTCATTGTGATGTATTCCATATGGGATAAGTTGATGGCAACCTCAATATGGTTGTGTGGGGAATTATAACTAAGAAATACCTCACTGCCTTGATTTGCTTTTTGTGTTTTAAAGAATTATCAGGAGAAAATGTACTTTTTAGTCATCCTAATAATTGTTAGCTATGCCTTATGGGATAAGTGGATAGCACATAAGTTATTTGGGGTATTTTATTACACGAAGTGCATCAATCTGGCTATTGTGGGTTTCCTTGTGTTTCTTTAAGAAGGCTTAGGGTCAAACATAGATTTCAGCCATTCTAAACCTATGCTTTATGTTCTTGTAGGTGACACTGGATTTGGCCTACTTTGGGATTTTTTTTTAACATAGGAAGATACAGCTATTGTGAATTGTATTTTGTGTTTTTAAGAAGTTTTAGCATAATAGGTAGCTTTCAGCCATCCTGGTTACCACGGACTATGTCTATGGAATAAGTTGATGGCAGTTTACTCCCCCAGTTAGGTTTGTTGGATTTGGCCTGCTTTGGGATTTTATAACATGGAAAGATAATAGCTATTGTGAATTGTATTTTGTGTTTTTTAGAGGTTTTAGCATACAAGGTAGTTTTCAGCCATCCTGGTCACTGTAAGCTATGCCTTATGGGATAATTTGATAGCAAGTGACTCTTCTAGTTTGGTTTGTTGGATTTGGTCTGCTTTGGGATTTTTTTAAACCAACTGTTGTGGTTTATATTTTGTGTTTTTATTAAGTTTTAACTTAAAAATTAGTTTTCAGCCATCCTGGTCTCTGTAAGCTATGCCTTATGGAATAAGTTAATGACAGGTGACTCTTCTAGTTTGGTTTGTTGGATTTGGCCTGCTTTGGGATTTTTTAAACATAGAAAGATACAGGTGTTGTGAGTTACATTTTGTGTTTTTTAAATAAGTTTTAGTGTAAAAGTTAGTTTTCAGTCATCCTGGACACTGTAAGCTATATCTTATGGGATAAGTTGATGGCAGGTGACTCTCCCAATTTAATTTGTTTGGATCTTTTTATAACTTGGAGATATCTAGCTGTGTTGGTTTGCTTGATGTGTCTTTAAGAAGTCACTGAGTAGAACATACTTTTAAGCCATTCTACCCATTATGATCCATGCCTAGTGGGACCAACTGGTGGCCTTTGACTGACCCTCCCCCCTTGGTCTATTTGGAGCTTTTGTAACTTGAAATTTACCTGTTGCCTTTTGTGACTTGCCTTGTGGGTTCTTAAAAAGTTTTGTAGTAAAAAGTATTTTTTAGTGAACTCTGCCTTATGGGATAAGTTGATGGCAGGTGATGGTGTGGATTTCGTCTATTTTGGGGTTTTATTACTTAGGAAGATCTTATTGTTGTGATTTGCTGTCTCCGTCTTTAAGAAGTCTTAGGTAAAAGGTAGACTTTAGCCATCCTAATTATTGTCAACTGTACTTAATGAGATATATTCATGCAGATTACTCTTCCAATTTGATCTTATTTGGAGTTTCACATCTTAGAAATTTCTGGCTGCTGTGATTTGGCTTTTGTGTCTTTGTGAATTGTTAATGTAAAAGATTATTTTGAGCCATGTTTGTTAGTTGTTGTGAGCTATGCATTATGGGATATGCTGTTAGCAGGTAACCCTCCTAAGTTGGGCTGTTTTGGGTTTTATGACTTGAATTGGAGTTATCCTGATGCTTTGTGTGTTTTTAAGAAGTCTTAGGGTCAAAGTCATTTGGTACTGATACTTGTTTTGTTCTGATTCATGATGATAGGTAGAGCCAACATTGTATTATGTTGTTGAACAACTGGCTGACTCCAACACCCTCTTTAGTTGGGCTATTTAGAAGTGAAGGATTTTCAAATGTGTAAGTCCTGTTTTCTAACTTTTTACCCATTGTTTCATTTTCTAGGAACTTTTCTTCTGGAAGTACTTGTACCAGTGCAAGACTATTCTAAACATTAATTGTAAGAGTGAAACTTTAGAAGTAATTTCATGGTATATTCACAAGATAGGTTGTTAGAGTGATCATGGTGTTAGCTTGGAAAGACCTCTCCCACCATAGGCTACTTTGGCCCAATTTTGAGCTTTTTGAGTTGAATCATATACTGTGTTATCTTTCACGTCTGCCTTCTTTTACTCAGGGTTGCGGTTGTGAGGTTCATCTTTCTTGGCAACAGCAGTAAGTAGTTTGTTTTTATTGTGAGTTTTTCTTTGTATGGCTACAGCTATAGATTAATTGCTCAAAGGTCATGTCAATCTTCTAGTCAGGAAATCCTAAACAGTTAAAAATAAAATGTGGTGGAAATTATAGGTCAAATTGAGGTACATTACAACTTGAATATTTTATACAACATTGGTCTGCATTTTTCTAACTCAAAAGTTAACTCCTCTCATCTTCTTAATCTCCCTTTAAATTTTGTCCTTAGGGACTCTGGTCACTTGTCTCCCCACAACAGATTGAAGGAGAACAGGAAAGGGATACAATCCTGATCCTCTCCCTGTTGCTCTGTCTCAGGATGAATAAAATAAATTAACTTTTGCATAGGGTGTCCCTTCAGTAACTATATGGCAGGAATTCATGTCAGACCTCTGATACAAGCTAGAGGATCATGTCATTGTAGACATGCCTGGTTCTAGTTCCATACTGAATGACACAGCTATAATCCAGCCTTGAGAAGTCTAGAGTTCTCAGTTTATATTTCACATACCTTTATTTAGGTTTAAGGTTTAAGTCTAACTCAAAGCAATCATGATTTTGGAGCTGCAGTGGGCCCTGGAGATATGAGCCTCAGAAGGGTTTACAGGGCAGGCGAGGAGGTGGGGTCTCTTTGGTCGCTCCACCCACATTGTAACAGCAGCCCAGCAGCAGCAGCAGCAGCAGCAGCAGCAGCATCACCAGCAGCAGCAGCAGCAGCAGCAGCAGCAGCAGCAGCAGCATCACCACCACCAGCAGCAGCAGCAGCAGCAGCAGCAGCAGCAGCAGCAGCAGCAGCAGCATCACCACCACCAGCAGCCCAGCCCCAGCCCCAGTAGCACCAGCACCAGCAGCCCAGGAGCAGCAGCAGCAGCAGCAGCAGCAGCAGCAGCAGCAGCAGCATCACCACCACCAGCAGCCCAGCCCCAGCCCCAGTAGCACCAGCACCAGCAGCCCAGGAGCAGCAGCAGCAGCAGCAGCAGCAGCAGCAGCAGCAATAGAGACACCAGAAGTGGAGACTGGAAGCGACAGTGACAGCAGCAGTGTCAGAGGCAGCAGCAGAGACAGTAGTGGCTGAGGCAGTAGTGACAGTAGCATTGGTGTCAAGGGTGGCAGTGGAAGCTGCCATTAGATCAGAACAGATTCTTGGGGCAGTTTGGCAGCATTCTGTCTCCCTAAGCAAAAGCCCCTTTGAGCTTCTTTACAAAAGTGTTAGCAGTATATCCCCTTGTTTGGTGGCTTTTAGGGCTCACTTTTTAAGACTTCAAGTTGTGAAGCAACTGTTCACAGATTGCGCTTGCTTTTAACTTCATTGTAAGCTCCCAGTCATGGACAATATAGCTCTTCTATGCATAAAGATTTATTCTAGTGATGGGAATGTAGCTTAGTGGTAATGCACTTGCCTAGCATGAATAAGAGCCTAGGTTCCACCCTCAGCCCCATAAAGTCACCCATGTTAAGTTGATTTAGATATTAGGTACATGAAGTAACAATTTTACGCATTTCTTTTCAGGAGGAGAAGGTTTGCCTCTTAGATGACTAAGCAGTTTCAGAAGTAAGCCTTCCAGCAAATCTAACAATAATAAGCTCGACTCAGAGGAAGTAGAATTTCTCCTGTTGCACAGCAATGATGTCTGCCTTCAGAGAAACAGATGTGGTTTGTATTTTAAATTGATCGTTTCGGTTCTTTTCCTGTGCTATAGTTTTTGCTAAACTGAGTTAAATTAAATAAAGTGAAATATATAGATAATAAGTGCAGTTTTGACAATGCTCTATAAAATTTCTATGAGCATTTGTGTGTAAATTTAAGAACATACACTTAACATTTCTTCTGGGTACTCTGAAATTGAATTGCAAACAAGTAGTCAATATAAAACTCAACTTTATGAGAATCTGACAAACAGCTTTTCAAATTGGTTTGCCTTTTAAAATTTTCTATTGTATTTTTGAGTTTCTTAATCTTTGAAATTGAAGTTAAATGTAAAATTTTAAACTATATTTAATTTTTCATAGCAGTGCACACATTTATTTAGTCACGTAAGGCCATGTATATTACTATCATTGAAGCAATCTAGGCCACTTTCAACCTCTGTCAACTGCTATGTTTTTTTGTCACTGGAGACAATGCTCACTGTCAATTATTGGGAGTCATTTTGGGGAAATGTGAAAACACAAACTACCATGTGAAGATAAACTACTATCTTTTTGTAAGGAATGTTATATAACCCAATTGTGTGTTTTTTAGTAACCTAAGCAGTGGAAGGCTAATCACACACAGAGCTACCAAGTCTGTTTACTTTAAAATCTCCTCAACTAATTTCTTAGAATAATTATTTTGCAGAAATGTAGCAGTTATTCATGATAACTTTTCTTATTTATACCCTGCCTTATTTCAACAACATTTTAAGGTGTTTTAGAAATTAAGAGTGCTTATGTGTTTCCTAATTCAACCACATGGTGGCAGTGTTGGATTGTTCAGGAATCAAAACTGGTGCAATGCTCTGGTTTTTGTTGTTTTTGTCAGTTTTTGTTGTTGTTGTTGGGGATTTTTGTTTGTTTGTTTGTTTGTTTGTTTGGGCTTTTTTTTTTTTGCTCTGAAAGCAGTTTCAACACTGAAGACCAATGTCTCTGCCCTGAAGCACAGGAGGTGTTAAACTCAATGGAAAAGGGGGTTCTGGTGTAGCTGGACTAATGAGAGCACAATTCTGCAAGTGGACTTTTTTCCTCTTGTTTCCTGAAACAAGGTCCTTGGCCTACCCAGGCTGTCCTTGAACTCATCCTCCACCTGCCTAAACTTCCTGGCAAGGAATGGAAACAATTGCCAGTCAACTAAAGGATAGAGGAAAGACTTTATTACCAGAAGATTCTAGGTTTAGAATTCCAGTGAAAAGTTGTTCAGAATGTCCTAGTACATAAGTAGAAGGAACATGTAAAATGCTAAGAGTTCACTGACTACAGAGATTCTCAGGATAGAGTATTACCATGCCTGACTCACATATACTTTTCTACACAGGCATGACATTTAAAACAGGCAAAGGCCCTTTGATAATACAATAGGTTTTCAAAACTTCTGAGAAGTGAAATTAAAGTCCTCGGCTTTTCTTTTTGTTATTTTATATTTCCTTTTAATTTGCTAAGAAATCTTTCTCCTATATGAATATGAGAATGTCTCCTTAGGATGGTACTTATAATATGTTTTATGAGTATGCACCTTTCAGTTATGTAAGTAATATTAAGCAAGTAGATGTCCAGTATATCAATGCTTACCATTTTAATGAGCAAGGTTTAAATTCCAACTACGTTATGGAGTTCCTCTAAACTGTCACTCAGGGTCATACTCTATCCTGAGAATCTCTGTAGTCAGTGAACTCTTAGCATTTTACATGTTCCTTTTTCTTATGTACTAGGACATTCTGAACAACTTTTCACTGGAATTCTAAACCTGGAATCTTCTGGTAAAGTCTTTCCTCTATCCTTTACTTGACTGTCAATTATTTCCATTCCTTGTAATATGAATTTTTATTTCATCTCTGCTTTAATTAAGACTTTTGATATATTGATGAAAGTTAAAAACAACTCAAATAGATAAGTATGAGGTATTGTCACTATTCGATGTGACTCTTACTGAAATAAAGCATTAACTACTTGTGGTGTAAAATGTATTCTAGAAAGAAACTTACTCACCTGAAATTTATGAAATTGAAGACCCAAAAGCCACTGTGGATATCCTGAACTATTGTCAGGTATGACACCTCTCCTTTCAGTGTGTTTTTCTAGAATGTTAAATTGTAAACATTTCTGACTTCATACGAGGGGGAAGTGTGTAATTAACTGGAAATTTTGCCATATCAAATTACTTGTGATTATTCACCTCATTGTGATTATTTTGACAGTTTCTACTTAGAATAATATTTTCAGGTAAAAATTTGAAATACCAATATGTGCATTTTAGAACATTAAAAACATTATTCATCAGATTTATTTACGTCTTTTCCATCTATATTGCCCAATATTAATTTCCACTATAAAATTTTAAAAGGAAATTGGAAGATTTGGTTGCACTTTTAATATGTGCCTAATTAATTACATATGTAGGTATCACAACTGAAATGAATGGGCAGCCTACTCGTGTTTTACAAGGAATTTATCTTATGTAATTTGGAGGGGAGATCATAAAAGTGAACTTTGGTGAGGGACTGATAGAAGTGTGTAATTATTGTGGATTTTGTGAGCTGTATACTCCAGAGGCAATGGAGGTCTGAAGAGATGGCTCTTACCCCATTAGGTTTACAATAGACCGAACTACCACAGTTTGAAAAGTAAGTTTGTGTGTGTCTTCTCTTTTAGACTGACACTAGTGAGGACAGAAGCCATGCTGACAGGTCATGATCTTAAGATAGTGCAGGAGTAGAGGAGGCTGGGCAAGGCTGCCTGGCCTGCAGTGCCCAAATCTTGGCAACCCTGAAGCTTAGACCAGTACTTATGCAAGTTGAATGGGGTATGACATTGCAGATGAGCAGTGCTTAGGTTCTCCAGCTATGCCCCGCAGGGGCCCTTGAGAATCCTGTCACTTTGCTGAGCGTCCTGACATGCCCTCCTTACCTGTCTGTGTAAGAGATGATAATAGTAACAATAGGTAATCTTAGTACTCTGAAGGCACAAGTTCAAGGCCAGCCCGATCTATATAGTTAGTTTAAGGCCAGCCAGGGATATGCAGTGAGACTCTGTCTCAAAAAATAAAAACACAGAAACAAAGGAGTCTCTTACTATTTGTAAGTATTTTTTTTACTCTCTTTTTGGGATTATAATATAATTAGAACATTTACCCCTTCCCTTTCCTCCTTCCAAACCTTCTCTTAAACCCCTCCTTGCTCTCTTTCAAATTCATGACATCTGTTTTCATCAATTGCTGTTGCATGCAAATATATATATATATGTATATATGCCTATATATACACCCTGTTCAACCTGTATAGTGTTACTTGTATACATGTTTTTAGTGCATCTGGTAATGTACAACCAAGTGGTATGCTCTTTCTCACAATATTTCTTAGTTGCATGTAGTTCTTTGTGCAGAATTGAGCCCTTGTGTGCTTTCCCCCATCCACTTTGGCATGTTTATTGGTATCCTTCTTGTTCAGCTGATATTTAGGTAATCATGCAGGTGATACTTTATGGGTGAACCTTCTGGCATTACTAGGAGACACGGTATCACAGCAAACTCCCAATCCTTTGGCTCTTACAATCTTTCTGCCTCATTTTCCACAGTGTTTCCTGAGCCTTAGGTACCGGAGTTGTTGTATAGATGTATTCATTGGCACTGGACTCTCCCCAGAGCACATTTTGAGAACCTCTGCCCCAGGCTGCTTATCCCTTGCTCTGCTGAAATGGCCACTTTGTGTGCAGCTCTCAAGATAAGATGAGCATTTCTCCAGGACAGGGGTTTTCTTTTGTAGGTTTTGTTGTTTGCTTGCTTGCTTTTCATGATTTTGCTTTTCATAATTTTGAAGTTCATGGTCTCAGAACCTAGCAAAGCAGTTCTGACAGGAGGAAGGCATTCATCCTTGAATGAAGGAATGTTTATGGTATTTTATAAATATGTTCTCTGAAATTTCTGAGCATTTCTAGAATGTTATTAGTGGTGTTCCTCATTGGTACGGCATGTAAGGTGTACTCAATGACATTGTGAGAGCATCACTAGATACTTAATTTTCAGACTAGTTTGGAGCCCTACATCACATATGTTTTAGTTGGTTCTATATTCTCAGAGTGGAACATTCACTGTTTGTTCACAAGCTGTGGTGTGGAAGCTGACTCCTATTGTTAGCGGATCTGAATGCTTGTCTTCTAAGTTAGCATCCTCTTGGATGGGAAGCAGCTGCAGCACACACAGGTGGGAGGTTGTCAGGAGCTGTGATGCACTCACCTTATGGCACTAAAGATACTTCTAAGTATGCATGAATCAGCTACTGCAGTGGCAGGTGGAGATTCAGCATCTCAGCCAGTGTTCTGGGTGCCTTAAAACCAGGCCTCTAATAGAACATTTCCACAGTGCCTAGCAATTAACTCTTGGCTTTGTGCATTTTCACGTGCTACTTTTCTTTTGAAAGAGCATGTACTAATACCTTTTATTATAACAGGTTATATATAAAACTGTTCAAAGGCTGGAAAAGAAGTTTGATGACCTGGATGAAAAAGTAACAAAAATGTATCACTCTCGTGCCAGATCCTTCTGGCGTTACCCTGTAAGTGTACAAAAACACTATCACAACTTTGATAAGTATATTCTGTCTAAAGATGCCAGTCATTGCAAAGTGATGGAGAGCTAGTAAATGTGGGATCGAGGCTTATCTGTACTTCCTGAAGGAGCAGATGGGAACTACAACTCTTTTTGAAAGAATAATCAAGTTCAGAATTGATGAATGTAGAACAATGAGCATTTTCAAAATATATTTTGAAAATATACATTTTAAAATGTACCTATAAAATATACATCAAATGTAGGTCAGAAGAAGAGGAAAAATCATGTGATCAAAAGAGAACACTATTTTCCTAATGTAAAATAATGCTGCATAGAAACCTTAATGTCCTGACTACTCTTTATTTCTCTTTTGATTATGAAGCCTTTTAGAGCAGTATCCAGAAGATACAATTACCTGATGTCTAGAAGACATAAACTTCAGAGAGTGAGACGATTCATTCATGACAATTTGGTCTCCCGTCCTCACAGTTACAGTCCAACTTCAGCAGTCTTCGAAAGGAATGAAGATAGTGAGGATATGGAGAACAACCAGACTGTAGATTACCTCCAGGCTTTCCAGTACCCCAATTCTATTGACAACACCCAGACTTTCCAGTACGCTGATCGTATTGACAATAATCAAGCTTTGCATTATGCTGATGATCTCTACAACACTCAGACTTCGAAGTATACCGGTTCTATTGACAGCAGTATCCAGAACAATGAAGACATGGATGTTTTCCATTCTGAGGATTCACAGGAAGTGATACTTGTCAGTTCTTCACCAGAGAGGGACTATGAAGAAACTCCACCGAGTCCTACATCTACTGGCCAAACCTACCAACAATATTACAGATTTAAAAACATTCCTAGCTCTTCTACAATGCCCTTCTACAGTGACTTTGAAAATACCAACGTGGACACCATCACTTCTACCACTTCAACAGTGAAGGAAGCAAGTACCCTCCCTCCAGGGGAGCTCATCCCCATCCAGAATCCTGAAATGAGGCGATTGGCCTTACTGGAGGCTCAGCGTACACCTGTGATTGATCCTAACACTTTTGGTGAGTTTGCAATGGCACCAATGGTTAACATCCTCTAAGTAAGCTAGTAGAAGCTTCTTGTTTCCTATTTTGATGGTTGATTTGTAGTTATATGTACAATGGTGACTGTTTATTAAGCAGGTATTATGGGTAAGGCAGTGTGATAATCAACTCACATGGATTGTCTCTGGTGGTCTTCATAATGACACCATTGTGATATTGAAATCTATTTTATTTACCTTTCCCCATAGTAAATACTCAAAATAATCATAAGGTGGTAAGAAAGAAAGGATGTACTTTTGGATAATTAACAAACAGAAAAAAAGATATTTCTATTGATTATCTTTGGTTAGAAAATAAGATCCTCCCAACAAATTACCTATCCACTTTCATTTGTCATCACACATTAACTGTAGGAAGTAAAACATTCTGCTTAAGGTAACATTTGAACACAAAGAAGTTTCCACACAACTTAGTGAATAGCACAGCTAAAACCTGGTGAGATGTGAGCACTTACATGGTTTCATGTATCATTTCTTTATTAAACATATTCAACCAAAGCATTTATTGCTATTCAATTAAACATGAAAGAATAATTGCATAAAATGTCAAAACCACTACTGATTAGATTCATCAGAAAATATTTTTTAAATGCAGATTAACATTTAAACCACAAGAGATGTGAATTTATAGAGTAAAGGTCAATCTAAAAATGCCAATATTGAATATAAGGGAGATATTTGCTCCAAAGAAATTATTTTGTTACCCAAGATAATTGTGGTTATTGAAATTAGTTGATATAACTAAAAAAATAAGCAATTATAAAGTGTAAACATGGGGAATTTCTACTGCGTTTAGTACAATAAACCTAATTTAGAGAATGTGACATTTAAGAGAGGTTTTCAAGAAATTCACTGAAATCCTTAAAGTAAGAAAGAGTACTGAGTTAGCTCAGATTATCCCACTTTATTCCAACTAGCACCTTTTCCTGTACTTGCTTGTGACCTAAGAAGTCTTGGATTGCTGCTACACGTGTTTCATGAACATTGAAGCTTTAAGGTGCCTTCTAAAGTAAAACTGTTCCTGCTCCTTGGGGGAAGTCCATTGACACACTTATGCAGCACTCCTCAGATCATCTTCCTTCAGGCTCTCATGAGATTTTACAGTTGGAATCTTGAGTCTTTAGTTCGGTACTTAAGAGAAGGTTCCAGGAGTGAGACCATTAATTTCTACCTAACATCTCTTCTTTCAGGATTATGATCAAGTTTTTAATGTTTTCCCCATTCATTGTTAATTGCAGGTTCATCATCCGAATGTAATGATGCTGTTGTGAGACACCTTGGAAACCCTGTAAAATGGTCTGTGGATGACGTGATAACATTTCTGAACCGTTTAGATCCCCCGTTGGCCGACCAGCTCTACCCCATCATCAGAGAACATGTAATGTATTTTTAAATCCAGTTTTCCTGCTAGCCTAATGCATTGAATGACCTCTGTGCACTTTCAGTTGGATACTGAGGTGCCAACTGAGTCAGTAGGGGAACCCTATCATCTGATTTATTTTTTGTTTGTGAAAAGTTTATCTTGTCCATCCTTCTATGCTTAAATGGTAGGTTAATCGTCTCTTCTTTACATGGGTATCTAAACATCTAATACACTAAATAGCCTCAAGTTCGGTAGTTCATGATTATAAGTCTCAGGTAGACCTCTTTCCATGCAAGGATAATTACACAAATCCCCCCATACTAGTGCCTTGTTCACAAGTAAGAGGAGTTTACCCACAGTGCATACCAGAGTAGCCCTCTTGTTGTGATATCCAGAAGCTAGTTCCAGCTGGTCAGTTCTGTTTACCTTATGTGACTATTGACAGCTGTGATGCTGATGACCATTTACAAAGCAACATCATGGTTAAATTTTACTTTAACCTGGTATTTTCTTAACTTTTTCCTTTGGTGACTTAAAATTTTGATTGTAGAGGTCTTTTACTTTCTTGGCTTGGTTTATTCCTAGGTAAACCTTTAAAAAAATATTGTGACCAAGTATTTTTTTCTCTAATTCCTTTCTTGGCAAGGTTTTTTATAGTTATATAGGGAAGCTATTTTTTTTTTTTAAAAAATGAGAATACAGGCTACTTTTATTCTGATTTGAGAATTTCCCTACAGATGTCCACTACTTTTGGTTCTTGGAAGACTCTTTCTGTTACCCCTTCCAAGATGATTTCTGAACCTTGGGTGGCAGGGCAGCAGCATGGGGGAAAATCCCTGTATGCTGAAGAGTTGTGGGTCTCTGTATTAATCACCATGTCCTGGAAAAAAAACTTTTATGTTGAGGGTCCAGAGATACACAAATCTATATTATAAAGATAAGAACTAAGGGGGAAGTTTATTGCTATGTTCATTTAGAAAAATAATCATAGTAAGTTCTCTCCTAGAGCCTTATGACCTATCCAGCCATAGGATTTTAGATGAATTCTGTCTTATGTACCAGGATTTAAATCCAATCAGATATGGTTGGCTACTCCCATAACATTCATGCGAAACATACCTATAATCCCAACTACTTGGGAGGCTGAGGTAGGAGGATCACATGAGTCCAGAAGTTCTAGACTGTAGTGTGCTATGCCCATTGGATGCCCACACTAAGTTGGGCATCATTATGATGACCTTCTGGGAGCAGGGAATTACTTAAGGAAGGATGAACTGACACAGATAGGAAGCTACTGATTTTATAGTCTATGACTACTGGAAGTTTAATCAGATCTCAACATTTTCTGCTGGTGTCTCTAGGCTCTTTCAAGTATAGGATCATATGACTGAAAAATAGAGATAATTTGACTTCTCCTTTCCTGTTTGTATTCCTTTTTTAGTTCTTTCTTTTATCTTGCTGTTATGAGCTGAATTTTAATAAGTTCTAGTTCCTTTCCTTTCTAATTTTACTTCCTATTATAGGAAATTCTGGGTCTTCTTAGACAAGAATGTGTAATTGAATAAAGTTTTATTTTATGCTGGAACTTATAAAACCAATACTATGTTTTAGTTGCATAAGGTGATAGTAAATTAAGGCAATAAAGAATTTTTGTAAAGATGCCTTGTGACTATCAAGTAGTAGAGTATCTATACATCATTTTCAGTATAGAAAGAAAACCAATAATTAATCTTAACGTCTAATTGGCTTCAGACAAGTAACTCACTTTCATATAAAGACAACGCTATTGAACACATTTACAGTTTGCATTGATATTGATATATTCCTAGCCTCTATCAGAAAGTTAAGAGCCATGAAATTTATTCTCTTATTCTTTGTACCTTTGTCATAGATACACAGTATTTTTATTCATCACACAGTATTTAAAATTAGGTCATTTGATATAGTTAATTTTAAATTATTAAGTTAAATTTGCTTTTTCTTAAAATTGATATGAATATATAAGTTTCAAAATGATACATTGCAGTGCAATGGTATTTTTTGATTTTATACAGGAGATACTTGAGAAGCTTTAGTTTTACATGTTCTTATATACAAAGAAACAGCTGCTTATCAAATATAACAATATTGTTAATCATTTTAAACTTTTTCTCTCTATAGGCTATCGATGGGAAGGCCCTGCTACTGCTTGATTTTGATGTGATGGTGAAATATATGGGGATGAAGGTGGGAGTAGCCATGAAGTTTAGCAGCTATATTCAAAAGCTTAAAGAAGGAGTAAACTGTGACGAGTAAACAAATCGTTTGTAGAACTTCAAATGTTCTCATTAAATTCCTTCTTAATGCACACTTGACTCCCTGTGTTCATTAGTTTTGGTTCTGGAGAAGGTTCTCCTAAAATATAATTAGAATTAAGAAAAATACATTATAGTCTGCTTGGAGTTACATTTAACATATTAGTATTAACATATACATATGTCTTCTTTAGATTTCTCATTTTATAGATTAAAATACGCTTCATGCAAGAAACCAAAAAACTACCTTTGATTTGGGTTTATCTTTATACATATTTTTAAAGCAACTAAAGAGGAAATATAAGGAACTAATAACATAAAGTTAAAGTGGTGAAAATTTTTCACAGAAGAGAAATTAAGGGAGACTATATCATTAACCTTCTTGGATAGTTTATCTCTATAATACTGTAGTATACCTTTCATATTCTACCAGTTTCCAGAAAAAAACAATAGCCGTATAATTTCTTGTCCTCTCTATTACTACATCTCTGTTATGCTTGTTCAAATTCAGAAGGAGAAACATTAAGCTTAGGAAGTGTCTAATATGCTCCAGACAACTAAATATTCTTACCAGTTTTCAGATAACTTATAGTATATGCAGAACAAGATACTATTTCAGATTTAGAAGGAGAAAATGAAGCTTATGAAGTATCTAATGAGCTTCAGACAACTAAATATTCTTAACAAGGTTTTAGATAAATTTTAGGATGTATAGAATGTTTGTTTTACCTAAGAATTATACCTCTAGAGTAGTTTGGAATAAGTCTGACTATAGTTTTAAGATATATACTTACTATATTAAAGCCTTCATATTTTTAAATCAAATTTGAACAGTTAGCTAAGAATTCATTGTTCAAATGTCTATGTACTCATACTCAAAATTAAAAAATGTATTTCATTTTTATGTGCTTATTTATTCCTCATGGAGGTCTCATTTGTGTACCAAAATTACACAGAAGAAAATATTTTATTTTGAACTTTAAATGGTACTTTACAATGATACAAAGGGAATGGTGAGCTGTTCATCTACAAGGTGCTCTTATTCTGTGAACTGTATATGTGCCACTTGGTTTTACTAGTCCTTCTCAGTTTAGCCTTCAGAGAGGCAGAAAAGTGCCGAGGCTCGAGGCTGCTCTCCACATATGGAAATGCTCTGTCTTGTGCCTCAGGCATCTAGGATGTTCACTATTGAAAAATACACTAGTCTGATTTGTTTGAAATTTTATTTTATAATTTAAAATTTTCAATAGAAACATGAATAATTCCTCTTTTGTTATTGTTTATCACATTGTATAACTTTTGAAATAAGGTAAACAGAATTAGTGCTCATAATAATGGCTATTTATTGAGAATGGTAACAAAATGCTCACCAGGGACAAGAATTTACATTATCACTTTAGAAAACAAAGTGTACTAGTTACTGAAAACCAGTGGTTTAAATGATTGCTCCATTTATATTCCTGCTTGTGTGTAAAGACATTCTAACTTCATACTTTTCAAATTGTATATATGCACAGGTGAACTTGGTTCAGATGCTTGAAAAACACTGTGTTCTGGATTTTTTAGATTTCAAGATATAATAAAGCCAAATAACTATAATAATTAACAGCAACGTCTCCGATTTTTTAAATTGAAAAATCATGCAGTATATTCTGATCTTGTTTTCCTCTCCTCATCTCCTTCCAGATCCTCCCCACTTACCCACCCCTCCAAATCCATATCTTCTTTCTCTTTAGAAAATAATCCGGCCCAAAAAAAAACAAAAAACAAAAAACAAAAAACAAAAAACAAAAAAACAAAACAAAAACAAAAACCAAGCAACCCAGGATCAAAAACAACAGCAAAAAAGCACCACACACACACACACACACACACACACACACACACACACACACACACCATAAAAACACAAAATTGGAAACGATACTATACAAGCAAAAGACCAGTAAGATTTAAAAAACGGCCAAACAAAGCAATATTAGGGGGAAAAAATCTACAAAAATACCACTGAGTTTGTTTTGTGTTGACCATCTACTGCTGGTTATGGGACCTTTGCTTATGTGTGGTTTATAAAAACCATTGAGACTCCATTGGAGAAAACTGATTTTCCTTTGCAAGCATTTGTCGATTGGAGATATCTTTTTTGGTTAGGGGTGGAAGATTGTGTCCACTTCCCCCTCTTAGCACTGAGACCCAGTCTGGGTTGAACCTATGCAGGTGTTGTGCATGCTGACACAGTCTCTGTGACTGTGTGTGTGTGTGTGTGTGTGTGTGTGTGTGTGTGTGTGTGTGTGTGTGTGTGTGTGTTCTGTTGTGTCTGGAAGACATTTTTCTGGGTGTAATCCATTCTCTCTGGCCCTTACAATCTCTCTGCTTCCTCTTTCACATAGCTCTCTGGCCACTGAGGGGAAGGCTTTGATGAAGATACCTCATTTAGTACTGAGTGTTCCAAAGTCTCTCACTGTGCACATTTTCCAGTTGTGGGTCTCTGTATTAGTTCCCATTTCCTACAAGAGGAAGCTTCTCTGAGGATAGCTGAGACACTGAACTACGGTTATAGAAGAATGTCATTAGGAACCATTGTATTGCTATGATCCTTTAGCAGAATAATAGTATTTTATTTTCCCCTAGGCCCATGACCTATCTGATAACTTTTTTGCACCCTGAAGGCCTCTCTGCCAATGCAGCAAACCGAATCAGACCAAATTGGAAAAGCCCAGGTTAAATGGGTAAAACATTCCTGGGTGATTCCTGGCTCCTCAGAGAGGAGATTGGGCCGAGAGACTGGAAGAACTACGAGTCTGTTTTCTGGGATGCAGCTTATATACCCTGTGGGAATGGTCTTGAGCCTCTCTGGGGGAGGAGCTGTGTTTGATGGGCTTTGAAGGGGTGGGTTTAGGGAAAGAGATGGGGGAGGGGAGTTGAGGTAGATCTTCCACCAGAACAAGCTGTGTTTGGCGAGCTTTGAAGGGGTGGGTTTAGGGAAAGAGATAGGGGAGGAGAATTGAGTTGAATCTTCCACCAGAACATTCCAGACTCTTTGAGTATAGGCATGCCAGGGTGCCAGGGGTTGAGGTGGAGCTCCCATCCAAACATTATCTAGTCTCAGATTGTATGCATGAGAGACATTGAGAGGCAGCCTGAATGGCCATCTCTCAGAGATTCAGAATCTGGTACCTGGAAGACAATAGCCCAGTCTACTGATGTCCAGATGGGTGGTCTGGTGTAATTGGTGCACCAAAAACTGTCTAAAGACTGTAGGGAGGATAATTCTCAAGTTTGGCAAGATCCACCATCCAGATGGATCTTGTTTCATATTTTGAGAGTGGGCCTTGCCTTCTTGTTCCTTGGAGTAGGTGAGTTTGGAGAGGGGGCTGTGGATCAGGAAAGGCAATGAGCAAGACAGACAGGGGTTCCCCAGGCATCTCTATTGCTTGTCAGGTCACCTAACCTGTCCTCCAATTTGCTTTAGCTTCAGATGTGTTAGCTTATTGGTGCTCCTTGATAGATAACAGCTACCTCCTTGGGGAGCCAAACCACTTCAAGGAGAGAATTTCCTCTGTATTTTAAACAGTTTTTCCTTCAGCAATTAATAGGCCTCTTTCCTTGTAAATAATGTCATGAACATGAATGGTTGGTGGCAAAGGCATACTTGCTGTCTATATAAATATTTATTCATGTGTCCTTTCCCAAGCACAGAGCTCAAGTGAGAGCAATCAACTCTGTCTTTGGACTGATGTGCCCTGTGGCAAGGCCTGTGCCCATGTGGTGACCCATTGGGTAGTTACTGCTGCCCCAGCTCTCCTGACTCAGTTGATGGCCAGTCTGCTTCCATAGGTAAGGAGATCAGCCTCTGTCTCAGGCAGGGGAGTGTCCAGGAAGTCTGGGTGACTGGCCTGGAAAGTGTCCAGCAAGTCCTTGCAGTCATGGAGAGGCCCCTTAGGCATCAGTATCACTGGGATGAAACTGTATAGCAATAAAATAAAAATGAGACAGGACTGATCAAGTAAGATCAGTCCTGATATTGAGCGGTGTGGGAATTTGCCACTCACTGGCCATTTGCCCCTCATAGGAGGGTCTCTGCAGCATGGGGAGCTATTAGAGTCAGATCCTGGCTCAGCATGAGCTTGTCAGCTTCCCTTACTAGTATAGTGATTGTGGCTGTGGTGTACAAACAAGATGACCAATGGGAGGCCGCACTTGGACAGATATGCTACAGGTCTCTGCCAAGGGTTCTGAATTAAAATGCCCTTTGCAATGCCCCAGATTTCATGGATGAAAAGGTGGAACAGTTTAGTAACATCTGGTAGAGTCAAAGCTGGGGCTCTAGTTAGAGCCTGCTTTAGTTCTTGGAAATCTTGTTCTTCTGTTTCAGTCCAATTCAAAAGGCTAGTCTTCTACAGTGGGAGAGTAAAGGGGCTGGGCTATTTTAGCAAACCCAGCAATCCAGAGCCTGCAATATCCTGCCACCTCCAAGAATTCACATAACTGTTTCTTGGTTTGGGGAGTGGGATCCAGAGGATAGCTTCCTTTTGGACAACACTGAGAGGCTTTATCTCAGAGAGGAGACCTCTAACTGGCAGGGCTAAGCTATTTTTGTTGTTGTTGGTTGGTTGGATTATTTGTGTGTGTGTGTGTGTGTAGACATGGTATCCCAATGTCTAGAGCAAGTGCTGCCATATTAAAAGATTTTCTACACACTGGAGCAGAGTGGAATCAGGACGTGACACCATGAATCCTGTTCAGTCTTTTTGTATGCTTTCATAAAGGGAAGTGGGGGAGGGATTTTCTTTTCTTTTCCTTTTTTTTTTTTTTTTTTTTTTTTTTTGGTTTTTCGAGACAGGGTTTCTCTGTGTAGCTTTGCGCCTTTTCCTGGAACTCACTTGGTAGCCCAGGCTGGCCTCGAACTCACAGAGATCCGCCTGGCTCTGCCTCCCGAGTGCTGGGATTACAGGCGTGCGCCACCACTGCCCGGCGGAGGAGGGATTTTTGAACCCTTAAGGTAGTTATGTCCAGGGTAGCTGACTAGTCTCATTGGACTGTCCATTCAAAGACAAATATAGTCTCAGTGGTGCCAGGGTAATGAAAAAGAAAGCATCCTTAATGTCTAGGACTATATAGACTGGTACTCTGGCAGGTAAGAGACTGAGTAGAGTATATGTATGAATTTGGAACAGTAGAGTTATGATTTCTGTCTGCTTATTTATCTCCCAGGGATTGGGGACTGGCCAGTAATCTGAGTTCTTTGGTTTATAGACAGGAAAGAAAGGCATATTCCAAGCAGACTAGCATGGGACAAGGATACTAGCCTCCTATAGCCTCTTAATACAAGAGCAATTCCCAGTCTAGTCTTTTGGTTCATGGGATATTTCCAGCCCCTTATCTTTGTGTCTGCAGCCAAGAGATTTACCATGATTGCTGGGTCACCGGTGTGCTACAAAGACTGAGCAGATTTGCCTCAGCCCGTACCTTAGGAGACTATCATTTCAAGTCCTGAAGCAGGATCCCTGATTCTGGATTTGCTTCCTCTATAGAATCTGGAAGAGCTAGAAGACATTCTTCAGGTAAAGGGGCAATTAAGATAAGCTGATAGGCAGCTGCAAAGGAAATTCTAGTTTCTGAGGAGTAAAGGTCATGGTGATATCCTATTTTTAAAGAAGATCTCTGCCTAGAAGGGAGGAAAGGGCAATCTGGAACTACCATGAAGGAGTGACTCATCTTTCTGTGGCCCAAGTGTTCTTTCAGATGGGAGGTGATAGTCTTTTATCAGACCTGTGTCTTCCTGTACTGACTTCCTGTACAGTACTTCCCCTACTGTTCTTTTCATTTGTAACCATCCCCAATGGACATTTAAAAACAGAAACTTCTGCTCCAGTGTCTAATCAAAACTGAATTTGATGATCTCTTATTGACACAGTAATCAAGGGATCTTGGATGCCTAAGAAGGTAAACCTGAGGTCCTTCATTCTGATTCACTATCCATCTCCCTTATGGTCAAGAGGGTCACTGCTTTCCTGGGTCTGCAATGGCTCAGACATTCATCCTTTCTGTGTCCCTTTTCCTTACAATAAGTACATTGATCCCTTTTCAGTGGGGACTGCTCCATCCTCCCCATTTTTGTTTTGGGGGGATTCTAACCTCTGGACAAACAGTAGGGAGCTTGGGGTTAGTTGACTGGAAATCAGCCATCATAATATTTGCCTGCAGCTCAGTCGGCAATCAAGGCAGCTTGTTTGTTTTTCAGTATGTCAGTTACTGAAAACTTTTGAGCCACTCCAATAAGCTGGGAGGTAGTCATTCGAGCAAAAGCCTCTAGCTTTTGGAGTTTTGTGTGACTATCTGGGGCTTATTGAATGACAAAAGGCAAATTTAGTGCCCTAGCATTTTCTAGAGCCAGTGAGTCTAAGGGGGTAAAGAAAATGCAGAAAGCTTTTTGAGTTATGGAGTTGGTGACCCTTGGGAAAAAGATCATAGACTCAATCCAGATTATAGTTAGCTAAATTTATCACAACCACTAGCAGGACAATAATCTCTGAGCCA